GTAGGTGTTGTCTAATGGAATATTCCTCTCTCTCTCTCTCTCTCTCTCTCTCTCTCTCTCTCTCTCTCTCTCTCTCTCTCTCTCTCTCTCTCTCTCTCTCTCTCTCTCTCTCTCTCTCTCTCTCTCTCTCTCTCTCTCTCTGTCTCTCTCTCTCTGTCTCTCTCTCTCTCTCTCTCTCCTCTCTCTCTCTCTCTCTTTCTCTCTCTCTCTGTCTCTCTCTCTCTCTCTCTCTCTCTGTCTCTCTCTCTCTCTCTCTCTCTCTCTCTCTCTCTCTCTCATATGAATACTCGGTGCATCAGGGGCTCTCCAGCTTTCTGAGGGAACCTTTCAGGAACAGAAGTGAGCCTAAACAGCTGAAGAAGGGAGAAAGTAGCTCTAGTTTGTTCTGGACATGGACGTAATTTGGGGGTGGGGGGCAAAAAGGGGGGGCATGCCCCCCCCCCCCCACACACACACACACACACTTTTTCCAAAGTCAAGTTTTGTCCGCTGCACTTTTTACCATCCAAAACAATATTACGCTATATTAAATTGACACTGGTTGAGAACATACTGTAAAGATAACCACCCCCCCCACCCCACCCCCCCCCCCCACCCCCAAAGTGAAAATTACGTCCATGGTTCTGGAGGTGCTCCAGAATTTTCTGCAGTCGCTTGCGAGACTTTGGACTCGAGGATTGTGTCTCGCTTTTACACAATAAATGATTTATGCGTATAAATGTCTGCTTTTGCACATCTGATACTCTACAGCTGTTTATATTTATCACTACTTGTGAAATTTTCTTATGGGAATATTTTATGATGCAACAAAGCATCTAAAAGTCTCTTTCTTTAACTTATTTGTTTTCAAGCATCATGAACTGTAATATTTGTGTTTAAGTTGTTTAAATGTAAACAGTCTAGTACATCAGAGTGATTTGGGTTTCCATCACCTTCCCTTGTCGTTTCACTACAACACGGCTGACATTAGTTGTGCTAGTTGGTCTGTAGTAGCTGTCAGGTAGATGTGAAAACCTCCTAGAGCCATGAATCCTGGCATCTTCACCCTCCGACGCTTGTGAAGCAGCCAAAACACAGACGCTGGAAACTACAGGAATCCTGACAGGATGTCACTCAGAACGCACGCTGCATCTCTGCATACCGGGTGGCATCAATCTCAGCCTTTATGATGCTTCAGCAACATCACAGCCAGAGAATGAGAAACATGAAGGCTTGATCAGTTTTTTTTTCATATTCAGATCATTGATTCTTGCCTTGTTCCATCCAAGTAGAGTCAAAATCCATTTTGTTCTGTAAAATGTCCAAAATAAAGCTTCAATCAGCGTCAGGTGACTAATATAAGCGGACGCGCTCACAGCAGTTCTCGCTGGTGTCCGAGGAGAGGGTCAGAGCTGTGGTGCGGGCACAAAAACCCAATAAAAAGTCCTGAATGCATAAAAAAGATGTTGTCCCGTTTCACCGTGGCTTGTTGGGGTGTGAAATAAGAGCTGAAGGGGTGAGGAAACCTGACAGTTCCTCTTTACTGGCTGCTCCTTTTTGGCTGCATGGGTGGGAAAATCGATTCTGACAGAGTTTCACTGACCAGAAAACCCACTGAAAACATACAATTCCAGGGCTTTTAGACGTGGGACTGTTATGGATACAGGACAGAATCCACACAGTGCAGCCGGGATGAGTCAGCACCATGAAGGGAGTGGAGTCATTGAAGACGAGCTTTTGTTTTCCAAAACCAAACTAAGGGCCTTTTGGAAACTTCATCCAAATGTTACAGTTTCTGTTCCTTCAGACGTTCCTCTGGGAAGCTCTTTGGTTCCCTTCATCAGAGAGAACTGGAGCTCATGAACCATCCAAACGTAGATAAAATTCATCTATTCGTGTGGTTTCATGTATTTGATATGGACAGAAGGGTATCAAATATGGAGCTGAGGATTAGGAAGAGTTGTTATAAGATCAATGCGAGCCGTGAAGAAACCGTCGCTGTCGCTTGTGTTGTCGTTTCTGTGGATCTTCAGTCAAATCAAAATGGTGTCGTGATGGAATCGGACATATCGGCAAATGTTGGATCGTGATTAGTGATGGGAATTCCGGCTCTTTTTAGAGAGCCGGTTCTTTTGGCTCTCAAGTGGCTCCTCAGATTTTCTGTTGTGTAGAGTACATTTATAACCAAAAAATGCCAAACTATATGTAAAATAATTTTCTAATGTTAAAAAAAGCAATATATCAAATATTTGTCATTTTTATGGATTTAATAACTTAACACTTTAAGAAATCTCCACTTCCCTACTGCTGGCGCTCATTTTCTCACCGTCTTCGTTGCACTCTCCTCTCTCTCGCCTTTTTCCTCCTCCTCATTCCCTTTCGTCTCCCTCCACCTGCACGTGCTCTGCTGTGTGTCTGAGTCTGATCCTCCCTCTTCCCCGCCCCTACTGCTCTGTGTGTGGACAGTCTGGACACACAGTTACACATGCTGACCAATCGCCTGTAGCTTTCACCAAGGCAGGGGGGAGGGGGAGGGGAGGGGACGGCTCCCAATGACGAGCCGGCTCCCGTCGTTCACTTCAAAGAGCCGGCTCTTAGAGCTGGTTCGTTCGCGACCGACACATCACTAATCGTGATCTGCTGTGATGACATCGTATCAGTAGCTCATAGACAACTAGGGCTGCAGCGATTCGTTGACGTTGTAGACAAATATCGGCAATAGAAATGGTCGACGTTGTCGCCAGACGTTTTTTTTCCGACCGAGTGAGGCATCTCACTTCATTACAATCTCTGCCGAGAGTCGCACGTGCCCAGTAGCTTCTGTGCTGAGCGCCAGCTAACAGAAATGGCGGCGGCCGACACCGCAGCTACGCGTACCGAAGCATCTAAAGTTTGGGAGCATTCTAGCCGGGACTCGACGAATAAAAAGATGACCTGCGTTATTTGTAAAGCAGTCCTCGCGCATCACGGCAGCACCTCGCTGATGCACGAACACTTCACTTGAAAGCACGTCGGACGGTTGAATGAAACAGAGTCACACTCGCCTCGGTAGGATTTAAATAACACGAAAGCCAACACGTTTTGTTTTGGACGTACATTTTTAAACGTTTTTTCACTTTTAAAAGAGAGAGAGAGAGTTGATGTTAAGCCCGACTGTGTCCGACTAAAGTATTTTCATTTTATTTATGCATTTTTGTCTGTACTGACTGAGCACTGTGCCTACTTGGTGTTAGACAGCACTTTTATTTATTTTTAAAATGAATCGACCAATCAGCAACAGAGGTCAATATAATATGCATTTTCCATTGAAGTACCCATGTTTCTTGTGTTTATTATCATTTTTCACACAATTATAGCAATCTCATGCTAATTTAAGAAAAATTTAATAATTATCCGATTAGTCGACTAATCGTTTCAATAGTCGGTGACTAGTCGACTATTGAAATAGTCATTAGTTGCAGCCCTATAGACAACATCTCTCGATATTCCATACTTCCATTCAACTTCTGTGTGTTGATTCTACTGACGCCATGTTTCATCTAATCAACCCAAAAAGATGTGTAGGATTCTGAAGTAGTGACTCCATGTGAGGTAACACACCTGTTACCCTTTTGGTCTGGGATGAATGAGTGGTCAGATCCATCAGACCAGAGAACAGGAAAATAACAACCAATTACATTTTGCTTTTGGGCTTAAAGAGCAAGTCACCCCCTACCAGAGTCTAACTCCACTCCCACTTCATTTTTGAAAAATGCAACAAATGCTGTTGCCAGGCAGACCGAGAGGGCGGAGCTGCTAACAAATACACACACACAGGCTCACAACAGCATTGTGACATCATAATGTACCAGATGACATCATAGCATACCTCTTAGCCAATAGCGGTGGCATATTTAAATTAAAATACAGAGCAGAGCTTTTACCTGGCAATGGCACAACACTGCCAGTTTTAGGCAGAATATTTAAATTTTAACTAAGATGCACTGAAGTGCCAAATTATTGACGACACGTGTCTGCAGCACAATTAGACACTCGTTTATTTAGTTTATCAGCAAAAAAAAGTTTATTTGGGGGTGACTTGCTCTTTAAAGAACCCGCTTCCATCCAGATGGTGGTGATTCCTGAAGTCATTAGTAGGTCCAGGTCATCCTCGGCGAGTTCTGGCACCACCCAGGTGTACTCGTCTATCTGATGGAGGAGGAAACATGTCTGAGAGTAATACTCTGTCCAGTTTTCACCCGTCAGACCAGATGAGTCCTGCCTGTCTCCCAGGCCCAGCTTGGAGGTTGGTGATGGACGGGGCTGCAGATGTGCTGCAGCGGTTCCTCTCTCCTGTTACACCTGATAGCTTTAGGTGCAGATGGCAACAAACTAAGTCGCATGGCTCCGGTTGTGATACCTTGTGTAATCAGATTACATTATAATCTGATTTGTTTAACATGTGAGAGGAATACAACAGAAGTGAGAGGCTTCAGATTCATAAGCAACAACCCGCTAAATGCTCTAATTTACACCTGTTACCAAAATAAAAGCGGGATGTGGTCTTTTTACTCTGCTCTGAGTAAACACGTCAGGATGTCTGTTAATTGATTTGACTGAGGTGCAACACTGAACTCGGCTAGCAAGTGTTTTAGAGCATCTTCAGAACATTTTAATCTCAAAATAGCTAGCTTGTTGAACGTGCAGTGCACCTTGTGTCTGTGTGCACCTACTCACTAGAGCGTGGCTCAGATCGGGACCCTGTCCTCTGCTGTGGCTGCAGTTTGGAGCGTCTTGCTGCTGAGTCGGTAGAATCGTGGCGTTCCACTGAAGCGTCATCGCTGCAGGTCGTCCTGCATCAGTGGGACAGCTGTGGACGTGTACCGTCTCCTTTCCCCGCTGTTACATCAGCACGCAATGGGAGGCTGATCTCAGTCCACTGATCTCAGGCTCAGGGGGAGAGAGTTCCAGAGTCTGGGGGCCACAGCAGCAGATGATCTGTCACCTTTGACCTTTAGCCTGGTGCTGCACAACCAGTAGGC